ATCTATCTATCTATCTATCTATCTATCTATCTATCTATCTATCTATCTTCCTCCCTTCTTCTCTCTCCCTCCCCACCCCCCTGTCGGTTGCCTGCTTCCTGCTGCTCAGAATGTAAAGCTACTGGTCCACTGCAAGAAGCCTGACTGTTTTCCACCACGATGATCATGTACTGACCTTCCAAGTACTGGACTTACAAGCCCCAAGTAAATGCCTTCTTTTAGAAGAGTTGCCTTCTTCCTCAAGACCCAGCTATACCATTGCTAGGTATATACCCAAAACTTGCTCAAGTACACAACAAGGACATTTGCTCAACCATGTTTGTAGCAGCTTTATTCATAATAGCCAGAACCTGGAAACAACCCAGATGTCCATCAGCGGAGGAATGGATATAGAAAGTGTGGTATTTTTACACAATGGAATACTACTCAGCAATCAAAAATGAGGAAATCATGAAATTTGCAGGTAAATGGTGGGATCTAGAAAAGATCATTTTGAGTGAAGTATCCCAGAAGGAGAAAGACAAACATGGTATATACTCACTTATATAGACCTACAAGAAATGATAAACATAATGAAGTCTATACACCTAAAGGAGATAAACAAGACAGCAGACACGAGGTAAGATGATCAATCCTCACTTAGAAAGACAAATGAGATGTGCATAGGACATATGACAGGAGTCTACCGCAGAAGGCATCTGAAAGACCCTACTCAGCAGCGTTTCAAAACAGATACTAAGACTCATAACCAAACCTTTGGCAGAAGGGGAGCTAGTATGACAGGGAAAGGATAGGAGCCCCACAAGGACCAAAGATATCTGGGCACAGGGTTTTTTTTCCGAAAGTGTTTCTCCAACCAAGGACCATGTATGGATATAACCTAGAACCTTTACTCAGACGAAGCTCGTTGTAGCTCAATAACCAATTGGTTTCCCATAGTAAGGGGAACAGGGACTATCTCTGACAGGAACTCAATGACAGGCTCTTTGACCTCCCCAACCCCCAAGGGAGGAGCAGTTCTGCTAGGCCACAGAGGAGGACTTTGCAGCCAGCCCTGAAGATACCTGATAAAACAGGGCCAGACGAAAGGGGAGGAGGTCCTCCCCTATCAGTGGACTTGGAAAGGAGCAGGGAGAAGCTGAGGGAGGGAGGGTGGGATTGGGAGGGAATAAGGGAGCGGGATACAGCTGGGATGCAGAGTTAATAAAATGTAACTAATAATAATAAACAATAAATAAAACCTAAAAGAAACAAAAGAGTTGCCTTGATCATGGTGTCTTACACAGCAGTAAAACACTAACAAGGACTTCATCTGTGATGATTAATCTTTGTTTTCAGTTTGACCAGGATTTAGAATCATCCAGTGGGTAAGCATTCCTCCAGAAATACCTGAGAGAGCGTTTCTAGAAAGGATTCATGTGAGGAAGAAAATACAACACAAATATGGAGTCATCCCACAGGTTTGGGGGCCTAGGTGGAATAAAAGAAAAAAAAGACAACTAACAGAGTGCCATCATACTCCCTCTGCTGGCCTGGCTTGGCTAGGCAAACTTCAAAGATTAACTCAGGGTTAGCCTGTACATGCTTTGAGAATCAACAATAGAGTTCGAACACTCATTTCTCTGCTTCACTGACTTGAGGTAAAAAGCAACTGATACCAGGCTGAAGTGGGAAGACAATAAAAAAAAAATCCCTGGAATAATGTATATTTTATATGATTTCTTGTCCTTGATCCATATAAAATAAACATATATCTTGTCATTATTGAAATGGGCTCATTTTTCTATTGGAGTAATTTCTGATAAATAATACGTTTTGTTGAAACACTTATACATTTTGATTTTCTTATGATATCTAATTATGCTTCAGGGAATGGCAAGGAATGAGGATACTATGAAAGACAACTATTTAGCTGCTTGACTCTTAAAATGCCTACTGAGTGCATATGGTGGCTGTTTGAGAACTTGTGTGAGCACCTTGCACAGTATGTGTCTGTTGGGGTCCTGAGAAAAATACAAGACAATCAGAACCAGTAAGTGATGCCTACCATATTCTGATGTTTTAATTAAATGTGACTTCATTGATACCACTCCATTTTTCTGTACTTTACCACAGATTGATACCAAGACTGAGCTGTTTTACTAATATATACGTGTTCATTTCCTGTTGTTTGTATTTCAGGCTTTTGCCTGCCTGACCTGTCATTTGGACAATCTTGCCATTCGGGACCTCGGTCTTCTCTCTATTGGTCATTGTTACTGTATCTGTGACATGAGCTTGTACATCAGAACAGCTATAATAACTAGCGCTATTCAATAAGTTTATGAGGTCCTACTTTTTTATTTTAGTCAATGTTGTAGGCTTATCCTTCTGAGTCAAAGCTTCTAAATGTTGCTTCAAAAGCAGAACCTGGGGCTGGAGAGATGACTCAGTGGTTAGGAGCACTGACAGCTCTTTCAGAGGTCCCAGGTTTGATTCCCTGCTCCTACATGGGGGCTCTCAACAGCCTGTAACTCCAGTCCCATAAGGACTCAATGCCTTCTTCTGGCCTCCAAGAGCACTGTAGAGGCAAATGCTTGTACACATAAAATAGAAATAAATAATATTTCCATAAATAAATAAATGTTTATTTGAGCATTTTCTCTGTGTGTGCATATGGGCACTTCATTTACTTAATTTGCGTGAACAGGGGAACATTTGCCAAGGCACAAGCGCAGATGTCAAAAGAGCACTTTTCAGAGTAAGCTAGCTCTTCCAACCCTGCAGATCCCAGGGAGCAAAATCAAGTTGTCAGTCCTAGCTGGGAGTACTTTTATCCAGTGAGCTATCTCAGGAGAGGCTAAATAGTTCACAAGTGAACAGAATCAATGAGGGGGAGGAGAGAAGGGAGGGGAAGCTGCAATTAAAGTAAATTAGTGAATGAATGAACGAATGAAAAAAGTAGAAAAAGCCACTGAAAGAGTCCAATAGTCTTTTATAATGAAAGTTCTGAAATAATAACAATAAAAACAAAAAAACCAATGAGATGTCAGGGACCACCTGTGGAAGCTCACCAACTTGCCTCAACTTGCCTGTTCCCTTACCTGTGGTAAACATACTGCTTGGAAGCAACAGAAATGTGCTCCCAGAACCGTGGCTTGGCAGCAGCAGAGATGTACTCCCAGAACCTTGACTTACCACAAGATGTGTCAGGCCCCTGGCCGAGAAGAATCTGTAACTTTTCACCCACCCTACTTCCTTGTCCTGAACCCTATTTAAAAGCTATTTTGCTCGGTAAAGTTAGTCCTTGACAAGCACCTGTTTGCTTGGACTCGGTTTCTCTTTCTTGTTTATCTTTTCACAGGGCGGATTCTCTGCTACGCCTCCCAAATAACTTTAGCTCCGCTGGCCGGGGCAAATGAGGTAAGTAGCTTTGATCTGGCATAAACAGAAAAGTAAAAGCTAGTGCAACAGAACTGTAGTCATTTCCTTTAAATGCTTCTCTTAGACAAAAACAAAACTGAAACTCAGCTAAAATTAGATTAGCTAAAAATAATTAACTAAAAACAGCAGCTGAGCAAGTTGTTTCATTTTGCCTTCAGGTTCACTATATAAAGACATCAGCATTTTCAGTTTGGTATTCTACGATTCAGAAATCACTTCCTACTCAGCTAAACTTCTTAAAATCTTGCTTTATCCTAAACTCTTAAGGAGTTTAACATAAAAAGGGCCAAGCAGGAGATCAGAAGAGTGCCAACTTCAGGATGCCTTCTGTAAGTCTCTTGCTTTATTTTTTTAATATTTATTAATTTACTTTATGCAGATGAGTGTTTCATGCACACCAGAAGAGGGAATCAGATTCCATTACAGATGGTTATTAGCCACCATGTGGTTGCTGGGAATTGAGCTCCGGACCTCTGGAAGAGCCAGTGCTCTTAACTGCTGAGCCATCTCTCCAGCCCGTGTCTCTTGATTTATAAGGGAAAGTCTCTCTGGGTTGACTGCCTTTGGGAGGGATTCAGTCCAGTTTGCTGACCTTAGAAGGAGTGAATGCATGCATCTTATTTGAAATTTTGTATGAAAATTAAGCTACTGTGCAGAATAAGATTCCCACGCGAGCTGGAGAGATATCTCAGTGGATAAAAGTGCTGTCTGCTTCTGCAGAGGTCCTGAGTTCAATTCCCAGAAATCACATGGTGGCTACTTGTCACCGACCAGCAGTGACACCTGAATATCACCTGAGAGAGGGCTGGGGAGAGAGAGACAGAGCAACACAGAGAAGGACACCAAGTCTACATGCTGATCAAAGTGTCGATTTAATGGACGTCAGGTTAACACTTAAGTAGGCAAAAAAGTACAAGCAGTTTCTCACGCAGGCAATTTTACTTAGCCAAAACATATGAGGGCTCACTCAAGGTTACACAGAGCTTGCTGTCTGGTTAAAATGGTTCGCAGAGTTTCTCAGGGTCAGAGCAATCCGCTGTAGGGCCACCAAGGTCAGTCTATGAGAGACTGGACTTTGGAAAATAGCCAGAGCCAAGAGGCCCAATTCCACTGCTCAGATGCCATTAACTCCAAATTTGCCATTAACTCCAAAAAGGCTGCCACAGCTACAACCATCTACCCTGGGATCTGATGCCTTCTTGTGGCATGCAGGTATACATGCAGATAGAGCACTCATACATAAAATAAATAAAATCTTTAAAAAAACAAAAAGATTCCCATGGGAAACTATGATGTTTTTTGCAGAGCAGCTATCTCTCTCCCTGTCTCCATAGAGCGGGGTTGTGGTCTGAGGGAGAGGTGCAGATGGCTCAAAGGGAGCTGCGTCTCACTCCAGAACTTGAGTCTGTACATGAACTCTTTGTGTCCCCTACAATGGCAACCCTTCCACCTGCACAACCAACCACAGCCTCTCCCTCGTCCCCATTCCGCTTCTGCATTGCCGCTCTCCATCCCTTTCGTAATGTTTGCCCCTCTACACAGAAACATATTCCCAACCACACATTCCAATCCTCTCCACACACACAAGAACATACACACACACACACACACACACACACACACACACAATTTTAAAATCGATTCAGAAGAGAACTCTGGAGGCTTGAGAGAAATTTACTGACATTATAAAGGGGGGGAAAAGGCAAGAAGGGCAAGCTGGAAATCTTGGTAGCCTCTGAGTGGAAGGGTGTGGAAAAGGAGAAAGAAATATTATGCATTTAATAATGTACAGAACAGACACACAAGGACAACAGAAGCAGGTACCTGGGGCCTTTGGTCTTTATATTTTATACTGAGGGGTACAAATTTGGCCTCCTCTCAGGTGATATTGTTATAGTTTGTGGGCACAAGCCTGGGCTCAAATAGCTCTAACAAGTTAAGCTGTCTTCAAGGTGTCATTAAAGAGACAATCATAAAATGTAGAGAAAAAATTGTTCCATGGCTACACAGAGAAGAAGGACAAATAATGAGAACCAGTGGCTGCCCCCCCCCCCCGCGCGCTACCACCAGCAAGTTTATCTTTTATCTTTGGCATAAGATTTAGATATAAAGAAAGTGTGTCTCTTTGTATATCTTCTTCACTCCATCCAGGCATTTGCCGTGAGCACATAAGTGACACTCCACCTTTTCAAGCCAACCAGAGAGAAAGTAAATAACTTACTATTTTTTTAACTAAAAGTTTCATTGAAGAGCCTAGAACTCAGAATTGTGTTTAAGACAGAATAATTATTACTCATTTCAGTCAGTTTACCTTTCAGGCTTATTAGCTTTGGGACAGGAGGAAATAACGGACCAGCATCAGTTATTGTCGATTTACCTTATAGCTTTGTTAGCCTCTGCCGTCAGTTCATCTTTACCTTGATTCTTTACAAGCAGCCTTCAGATCTTTTGCTCTTACTGTGAGCCAGTGCAGGTGGACTTCCAACATAGCAGTGGAAGCTTATGAACAGCTTGGAGATCTTTCATTATTGCCCTTGAATCTGCTTTCTTATTTTTCCTCTAGTTCTCTATCTAGCAGTGAATTGCTAATGCCATTTGTCTCAGAAGAAGATGACATATAGCTACCTGCATATCTTCAACGGCTTCTGTGGCTTCAAGGGGCACTTCTATTCATTGCCTTCCTACCTGCCTAGTATCAGGCTTACATTCCTCTGGTTTCCTCCTCTGCTGAGTTAGTTCAGCTTAGGAATCACTTCACTGGTTCTTTTTCACCAGCCAAAGGGAAGCTTCGCTTTCTCCTCCTTTTCCGCTATCACCCACTCTCATGGGTGAGCAAATTGTCACAGGACCTGGATTTATCTGGAGGCTCAGAGAAACAGTAGAGGTTTGCGTTAGGACCAGTAAACTACCCATCACTGAAGATGGGGCACCTTGACCATGGTTGACGTCTCCCCTCCCGCAAGGGGCTTTTTCTACAGGCTTCTTTTTCCCTCACGATACTCATTCCTCCTTTTGCCTCTATCTAACTTTTCTCCATGTTCTTGTACACAGTACAAACACTATTCACCTTCTACACAGACCACTTTCACTGCCTCACTGACTCCAGACCACACCTCTCGACCTGAGCAAACTACCAAAGCATGGGCAAATGCCTCTTCTTCCTTAGAAGACTGCTGATAGTGAGATAAAATAAAAAACTCTTTTCCAATCACAATGGATCCTCTTAAAGATTCCAAGAGACATTTTCCCCAATGGGAAGATAGGATTCAGTCCAGTGGGACTGAGAGACAATGGGGGACTTCCCAAAGCCATAGAGACAGTCCATGATTAACAGAAGTTCAAAATCAGATTTGTTGTTGTACAAACTTGTTTTCCTGTTCTCCCTGTTTATCTGCTTCCAGATCATAGGACTACTCACAGGTGGACTGGGATATGCCTTGGTGTGTGCTATTTTATTACTGTCCAGATACCTGGGCAGAACTGCCCATGCCCGTTGGTGAGTGTCTTTCTGTTTCTCCTACCCTGTTCAGAAGCAAATAGTCACACAATGTCTAAGCCCTCTGAGCATGACCATCTTCCTGTCACTCAATGTTCCCCTTTGTGTCTGTTTTGTTGTTGTTGTTGTTGCTTTGTTTTGTTTTTATTTATTTTTCTCAGAGAAATGGATCCTGCCAGTATGCCTCAGAGGGAGCCCAGAAGACATCTAAAAGCCACTCAAAGAAAAATTAAGTGAAACCCACTGTGTAATTAAGCAAATCTAAACAGCATCTCTCACTGGAACCCAAAGAAGACCTTCTCCTTCTAGGCTTTCATAACCCAGGATCTCCCTTTCCTGACAAATGAGGAAATACCTTACCCATTGCTTATACCCTGAATCTTGTGGTTTGATTCAGTTTGATAAATCATAGTCTAATAAACAAGTAGGAATGTAATACGCATTTTAACCAACAGGTCTCCCAGAGCACTTACTGTTTTGTTGTGTGGGCATCTATAAACCAGTCTTAGTACACATACGTGCACACAGTTCCTTGCCTGAGAGTTTGTGAGTTGAATGAACAAGTATCTAGAAATATGATTTTCTATACTTATGTATTTGCTTAACAGCTATGTATGGAATGCTTATTTGATATTTTGAAAGTTCTTTTTTTGTGGCAGGACTTGAGTAAATAATGTGAGGAGGACATTGTCCTTGATCTCAAGGAATTTGGGGCTTTACAAAAGGAACACCTTACATATTAGTTGGCTCTTCATCACTGTATCAAAATACATGACAGCCTAGTTGTGAGGAAGAGAAATCTACTTAGCTCACCATCTGGAGATTCAAAAGCATGACACTTACACTGGCTCAGTTCCCGGGAGGACACTGAGGTAACCCACAGCTTGTCAATCCAGGAGCAGAGGAGGCTGAGTGATCCACGCTTGCTCTTTTCATAACTGCCTGTAAGTGTTTCAGTTCTGAGGGGAAAGGCCTCCCCAGTAGAGGTGCTGCAGCTCTGAGAGGGAAGGTTTCCCTGGGGGAAGTGTCACAGTTCTGAAGGGAAAGGTATTCTGGGAGTTGGGAACCAAGAAATAGCACAAAGTCACACCATACAGCAAACCTCACACACGAGGATTTGGGGAAAGACGCAAGAGGCTGACTGCCTCTGCTTGGATGAGAAGTAGCAAAGAACTGAGCAGGAGGCAGTTATATAGGGCTTTAAGTCGGGCTTCTCCAGGGTGGCGCTGCCCAGGGTGGCCTAGGATTGGAGAGATTTCTGTGGCCTGATCTTGGGCTTTTGTTTTTTTCTGTAGGGTGGAGTTAGGATTAGGGAAGTCTAGAGGCAGGGCCTAGCCATTTGTACCTCGAGGGGTTTACACTTCCATCAGGTTAGAACTAGTTGCTGGTCGTGGTGGAATTCAGGCCTCTAATCCCAGTACTCAGGAAGGCAGAGGCAGGCAGATCTTTGTAAACAGGCAGATCTCTGTGAGTTCGAGGCCAGCCTGGTCTACAAAGCGAGTCCAGGACAGCCAAAGCTACACAGAGAAACGGGGAGAAATCCTGTCTCAGGAAAAAAAAAAAAAAAAAAAGGAGTCACACAAGAGATACCTATTGCAACAAATGACCTCCCTTCAGGATAGTACTACAAGACTGTTTGAGGGAAAACGTGGCACATCTGTTTTTACAAATAGTTTTATTGAACCGCAGCTGAAACCATTAATTTTTTTTTCTGGCTCCTTTTTGAATACAACAGCAGAGTCTGATACCAGGAATCCTCATTTTATTTATGTTGCTATCATAAAATACATGACAAAAACTGCATAGGTCCTGCTGCCTTGAATTTTCTGCCATAATGGAATATACCTGGAACTAGAATCCAGAATAAATCTTTGCCCCTCCCCCCCCAAAAAAAACCTATTTAGGGGAATAAATGTTATTTTTAGACCACAATTCCAGGCTACAGTCCATCATTGAGGGAAACCAACGAAGCAGGAAAGACAGAAGCATCTGATCACAGAACATCTACAGTCAAGGGCAGAGAGAAATGAATGCACCATGCTCACTTCTTTGTTGGCTTGTTTTTAGCCCAATCTCTCTACTCTTCTACAGTACAGGAACTCCTGCCTAGGGAAAGCCACTGCCCACAGCAGCTGGGTCTTCTCATGTCAATTCGCTTAATTAATATAATTATCCACAGACATGTCCATAAGCCACCCAATGTAGACAACTCCACTGAAATTCTCCTCTCGGGTGATTCTAGGTTGTGTCAAGTTGACTTAAAGCTAACTATAACACCAAGACAGCGACCATATAACATAAAAAAAAAAAAAAAAGAAAACAAAACAAGAAAAAAAACATAAAATATTTATTATTGAACACTTTCCAGAAAAAAGTTCCCAAACATGGAATGCCAACAGTATTGATGATAATATCTCTATCCTCTATACCAGAGTCATTCTGCTCCATTTCAGTTCTTTCCCATTGTAAAGAGAAGGGCTTGGACCTGCACCTGTCCCAATCCCTGCTTCCCCTACTGATCATAATCAAGGTTTCCTCCTAGTGATATTAAGACACACAATCGTGGCACAAGGATGCGGCAAGAATGATGGTACTCAGAAGGTGCCTCTTGAATTTCTAGATGGGCTAAGTGATGGCAAGGGAAAACCCTGGAAACGTTTAGGCATGGTTTAAAAGAAAGAGCTCTGGGAAAAATAGCCCCAGACTTAATGGCCCTAATATGTCACGTTCTACACAAAGACCTGGGGAAGGCATTGAACACAATGTCAAGGTTTCTGATTCAAAAAAACTGGGAAGCAGTCATTTACCTAGGTGGTGTTGCTAAAATCCTTTTCCATCAGTGGAGAGACAAGTCAGAGACTAAGAGCACTTACTGCTCTTAAAGAGGAACCTGGTTCAATTCCCAGTATCGATATAGCATCTCACAACCATCTGTAACTTCTCGATAGGCTCCTGCAGGCATGTGATGTACATACATATACTCAGACACACAAACACACACACACACACACACACACACACACACTACATTATTTTCAAAAAATAAAATTTCTTCCCTGGCAGAAATGTAAAAAATTTCTACCTCTCCTTCTAATGTCCTAATGATAAACTAAGGTAAAATTTTTGGTTGCCTTCTGGGTAACCAGTAAGTTTACTGGGTTTACTTACAGAGCAGTGGGTGAGAGGTTACTAGCAGGCCCATGTGTGGCCTTAAAGCAGCCACACTGGAAGGTCTGTATCCACAATGGATGCTCGTTTCACCGAAGCCTCATAAATGAAGCCTGCTTCCTAGTCCTTCCGAGTCTGTATACTTGAGCCTCTCCCTGAGGCCAAATGTAATAGTTGCCTCAGGAACTTGGTTGAATAACCCAAACCCCCTCCAATATATTGCTGTATGTTGTGGTGTGTGTCAGCCCACACCATCCTGCGGCAACTCTGCTGAGAAGCTCTTCCTAAAACTGAACTAAACCAAAAAGAACATCCATATAAGACATTTCTCAAGGTGTCAAATGGGAGTGTATTAGTCTAGATTTCTAGTTGGTTGGTTGGTTGGTTGGTTGGTTGGGGGTTTTGTTGTGGTTGTTGTTTGTTTGTATCACCAAAGAGTCAATTACAAAAAGAAAAGAGAAATGTATCTTTACTGTATCGCATACTGTATTGCAGAAGGGGGTGCATTCTCTCTGCCTTTCCATATAATGCCACAAGAATTCAACCATACGAGCCCTACCTACCCTAATGACCGAACAATCCAATCACGTATAAGTGTTCCACTTTTATACTCTGTAGACACACCTGACACCTCTAACTCTGATATGGACAAATAACAGTCAAACCCTAGTAGATTTAAAAATTACCCTTCACCTTTAGACTCCAATTGGAATGGTAGATAAGAGTCAGACAGCCTATCTATTTCCTATCATTCTCTGTTACACTCAGTCCCTCGACTTATCTTTCATTTGTCTTTCTCGCACATGCTATTGTCAAGTACATTTTTATGTCTCATAAAGTTAAATCAACAACCAGGAGTCAAGAGAAGCTATCCAATAAAGGCAGGAGAAGTAAGGTTAAACTTCACTTGAATAAGAGGAAAATAAAATGGTATAATGGACATTCCTTTGTCAGTCAAAACTTGGAGACGCATCACACATGATCTAGTGACATAATGCTCTCCTCCGTCTATGATTAAACACCTCTAGTGTGTTTAATAAAGACATCTGTGTGCTTGTTTTCATGTTTGTGTTGTTTTTTGTAAATGCCTGCCAGCCAGGTGGTGGTGACACATTCCTTTAATCCCAGCACTTGGGAGGCAGAGGAAGGCAAATGTCTGTGATTTCTAGGCTAGCCTGCTCTACATAGTGAGTTCCAGGACAGTCAGGACAACAGCGAGAGACCCTGTCTTGAAAGAAAGAGAGAGAAGATTTATTTAGCTCTTCATTCTGACAGTTGGAAGGTTCAAACATGAACATCTGGTGAGGGTCTCCTGTATTCATCACAATACAACAGCATGAGAAAAGAGAGGAAGTAAGACGCTAGGGAGATGCCAGTCTTTTATATCAAACCACTTTCTCAGGAGCTTGCCCACTCCTGAGATACTTAACCCACTCCAAAAGACCAACATTAATCCTTTCACAAAGCGAGCTATGACCCAGTCACTTCCTACAAGCCTTACCTCTCAAAGATCTCGCCACCTCTCAAAACCATAACAGCAGAGAACAAGCTACCAGCACTCGAACCTTTGGGCTTCATATCTAAACCATAGCAATCTCCAGCAAGTGCCTGACCAATTAACTCAGTGTTCTGGAAAACCAAGTAATTAACGTTTATTGAATCTACCATGTTACCTCTGCTCAGTGCACTTTCACCTCTGCTATCTCATTTCATATTCAACAATACAGGGAATTACCAATCCTTTAAGACCAACAAATACAAAACTTCAGGGCTCATCAAGGTTTAGTGATTTGTCACATTACACCTGCCAGTAATTCCTGTGTTCTAGTTTGATTTTCTATTCCTAAGATAAAATTCTGATCAAAACCAACTTGAGGAGAAAATTATTTATTTGGCTTACAGGTTATAGTCTGTCATCAAGGGAAACCAAGGCAGGAACTTAAAGCAGGAATCTGGATATGGGAACTGAAACAGACACCACAAAGAACAGTACTTACTGGTTGCTTCCTCTGGTTTGCTGGTCTGCTTGTCCAGCCCAGGCCCACCCGCCTAGGCCCACCTATGTCAACTAGAAGTTGCACCTCCACTCCAGACATGCCCACACACCGGTCTGGGGGAAGAAAATCCTCAGCTGAGATTCCCTCTTTCCCAGGTGACTCTGGTTTGCGTCCAGCTGACAAAAACTAACCAGCACACGGTGGAACTGAGTTCTAATTCACGTCCTCTTCTTCTACACTCCATGCAGTATGGATCCTGTATCCTGTCATTTCTACAGTGATG